GGACGCAATTCGTGTATACCTTTTTTACCGGACGCAACTCGGGTGATCCCATTTAAAGCAAACCTTCTATAAGTATTCATTTCGCGAAAGCTTCTAACCAATATACTCAACCATACAGTTCCCTAGGTATTGGTATTTTTTTTCTTGTTTGATAGTAACTTATAAGTACGATGTAAGTGTATATCTCAATCGTTATCTTAATCGACAGGGCTATCAGCAATAATTTGCTAAAATTCTAATACAACAATTTATTTACATTTAATTGTATACACTGCATATAGTGTACATTTATATTTTATATTATCTAGTTTATATTTTGTATCAATTAATTAAAATTATAACTATTTTACCTAAACACAAAAAGGAACCAAAACAGTTCTGCCTAATAAAACACCTTTTTTAAACTRGAAACAATTTGGCTTGACTTAATAAAATGCCTTTTTCAAATGGGAACCAACTTGGTTACTTCCAGTTGAATATGTCTCGTTAATACAAGTTATCAGTTAAATTTTGGGTGGAATTCAATATTTAATCCAAGAATAATGATTTTTGTAGCAATTCAAAAATATTTTTCGCTAGRACTTTAAACTTTTACGTGGGTACAATGTACATTGTCATTTACTTMCCCATATTACCTTTATACAAGTACGTGATGAAATTTTAAAAACATTTCGATAAATTGTATRTTCTTGCATATTTGAACCTCAAACCTATTCACATTAGTCTACAGTTAGTCAACGGYATTAACTTAGAGGTTAATAAAAATAATATAATCTGATAAAATAGTTAGGAAAGTGTGCTAAATTCTCRGTTTCTAAACTTATTTTGGTAGAACGCAATAAATTATGATTGTATATACAATTTATGTAGAGTCGTAACTACTGGTAATAAATAAAGACCTTAATATCAACAATTGTAAATATACACTGCTAACTAAACGAACGGACGGACAGACACGATGGAGTTAAAGATGTTCYAACATATGATTAGAAACCTAAACATTTATATTATTAAAATAATTTAATAAGTGCAATGTTTTTGATGGAMTTAATTCAACCTACTGAATTACTTAACAATAAAATATTAATATTCTAGCAATATTTTATATTTATTTACCTGTAAAATAAAATATACTTATTAATATAGCCTGACAGACAGTCTACACTGAGAATAGTTTTTCTTATGGAATGATTGAATTAAAATATAACATATACGTGTGACTTACTCAATGACAAGCTACTGAGTGTACGTGTTGAGTACGTCTAGTGCGTTAGATATTATATACAATGAAATCTTAAGAAAAAAACATTATTTAAAATGGTTATGTCTTGAATTAAATATTACCTATCTCATTTCATTTCAATTCAGAATAGAATT